AGAAAGAAAGAAAGAAAGAAAGAAAGAAAGAAAGAAAGAAAGAAAGAAAGAAAGAAAGAAAGAAAGAAAGAAAGAAAGAAAGAAAGAAAGAAAACAGAGCAATTGATCTCAGTGATTCCCAGAGTTCTTTGTGTGCCAGTGGAAGGCATTCATGCTCTCCAAATACCTCCCAGCTTATCACCCTGAGATGCACAAGAGGTACAACTAACACTAAAACACCGTGTTCCCAGAGGACTTGGACTGTTTTAAATAACCTAAACGAGAACAAAGACAAAATAAAAAGAGACAACAAAGAACGTTAATGTTTGCTCTCTCAGCCCCTTCCACCCTCACACATATATTCCTTCTTGCCAGTTTCGCTACAGTCCTGTTCTTTGATCCTCTGCAACAATGTTCTCAGCCCCTAGGAGGGATGCTGTGTCCCAGGGGACATTGAGCAATGCCTAGAGATATTTTTGATTGTAATAACTGGAGGATGCTATGCACATCTAGTAAAAAGAAGCTGGGGGTACTGCTAAGGGACAATAATAGACAGAACATCCCTTGACAATTATCTGGTCCAGAATGTCTAGTGTCTACTCTGTTCTTTAATGAGTAAGCAACAGCCTTCCTGACAAGATGGAGCCACTTTAAAATAATAAGACTCTGTTAGGCTTGGTGGTGCATGCCTACAACCCCAGCACTTGGGAAGTTGAGGATGGAAGATCAGGAATTTGAGGCCAGCCTGAGTTACATAGTGAGATCCTATCCCCAAAAATGTTTTAAACTGGGTGCTGATGCCTGAGGCTGAGATCTGAGGATAGAGATTCAAAGCCCAGGCAGACAAATCCAAGAGACTCTTTTATTTTCCATTAATCATAAATTTCTTTTTTTTCTTTTTTTTAAATTGAACTCAGGGCCTGTGCACTGTCCCTCCTCTCTTCAGCTCAAGGCTAACACTCTACCAGTTGAGTCACAACGCCACTTCTGGCTTTCTAGTGGTTAATTGGAGATAAGAGTCTCACGGACTTTCCTGCCCAGGCTGGCTTTGAACCACGATATTCAGATCTCAGCCTTCTGAGTCCTCAGATCTCAGCCTTCTGAGTAGCTAGGATGATAGGTGTGAAAAAAATACAAATTAAAATAAAAATTAAATGAGCTCCTGGTGATAAAAGTTGCGATTTCTCAGCATATAAAGCCATGAGAGCATCTGGGATGGAGCCTGGAACATTTAATATTAGGAGGTGAAGCCCAAGAGGAGCCAGCAGAAAATGACAAGATGAGGTCAGAGGAAAACCAGAGTGTGGTGTGAAGACCACAGGTATCTCAAAGAGAATGGAAGAATCCACAAGATGGAAGCTGCTGATGAAAGACTAAATAAGACCTCATTACCATACATTGGGGTTAGCTGTGTGGAGACCAAGTAACCGGAAGCCAAAGGCATATAATAAAAACCCACCCTTTCCTTTCACCCTGTTCTGTCTCCCAAACATAGCTACTTTCAAGTTTTCTCTGTTTGTTCTAAGGTCGCATCTATCTTTCTAACTAATGCACTTGCACTACTATTTATTTTATTTTATTATTATTTTTTGTCGGTCATGGTGCTTGAACTCTGGGCCTGGGCGCTGTCCCTCAGCTCTTCAGCTCAAGGTGAGCACTCTACCACTTGAGCCACAGCGCCACTTCCAGTTTTCTTGTGGTTTATTGGAAATAAGAATCTCACAGACTTTCCTGCCTGGGTTGGTTTTGAACTGCGGGATACTCAGATCTCAGCCTCCTGAGTAGGTAGGATTACAGGCATGAGCTGCTGGAGTCTGGTTTACACTACTATTTTTTATTTGTGCTGGTATCGGGACTTGAACTCAAGGCCTTGGCACTGACCCTTTTTTTGCTCAAGGCTAGCACTCTACCACTTGAATCATAGCACTTCTTCCAGATTTTGAGGGATTAATTAGAGATAAGAATTTCAGTTTCAGGGCTGGGAAGGTGGCTCAGTGGTAGAGCGCTTGCCTTGCATGCATGAGGCCCTGGGTTCGATTCCTCAGCACCACATAAGCAAAAAGAAAAAAGCCGGAAGTGGTGCTATGGCTCAAGTGGTAGAGTGCTAGCCTTGAGCTGAAGAGCTGAGGGACAGCACCCAGGCCCAGAGTTCAGGCCCCACGACTGGACAAAAAAAAAAAAAAGAATTTCAGTTTCAGCTGGGCGCTGGTGGCTCATGCCTATAATCCTAGCTTCTCAGGAGGCTGAGATCTGAGTATCTTGGCTCAAAGCCAGCCCGGGCAAGAAAGACCATGAGATTCCTTTCTCCAATAAACAAAACTGGAAGTGGTGTTGTATCTCAAGTGGTAGAGCGCTCACCTTGAGCTGAAGAACTAAGAGACAGCACCCAGGCCCAGAGTTCAAGCCCCATGACCAAAAAAAAAAAATTTTTTTTCGCAGTTTCTTGCCCAGGCTGGCTTTGAACAACTTGATTCTCATATCTCAGCCTCTTGGGCAGCTAGGATTACAAGAACTAGTTAAGATACCTGGCAAATTTATTAGTTACATATACTGTTCCTTCCCATGTTAGATAAGGTTTTACTTCTTTTTATCCCACCAATATGCATTCTCTTTTCCAAGCTGTCTAGAAACAAACAGGTTTAGAAGCTAGACTAGTGTCTTCCTTCAGGGTAGAGGGTAGATTTGTTTATAAAGACAATGAGTATCTCTGGAGAGATTCTAGGCGGGCTCTTCAGTTATACTGAAGCTTAGTAAGATCTCTCTTCCCTCTCCAGAGAAGCCTGTTTTGTTTCCTAACCAGGATAATAAAGATAATGTCTCCCCTTGGGGCAAAGGTTGGACAGTTTTGGTTTTTATTTTTATTTATTTTTTATTTTGTCCTGAGGCTTTAACCCTGGGCCTGGACACTGTCTCTGAGCCTCTCTGTGCTCAAGGCTAGCACACTACCACTTGAGCTACAGTGCCGCTTCTGGCTTTTTCTGTTTATGTGGTACTGAGGAATCGAACCCAGGGCTTCATGCATGCTAGTCAAGCACTCTACCAATAAGCCACATCCTCAGCCCCCAGGTTTGGTTTTTAGATCTCAGGCCTGAAGTCCAGGAGCCCAAGTTAAGTCAGGCCACTCACCCCCATATGGCAAATAAAGAGACATGGTGAGAGGTATAGAAAGGAGATGTGTGACATGGCACCTGTTGGAAGACAGCAGTTGGGTACATCATTTGTCTTCAGGGGTGCAGACATTGACTTCAGATTAAATAGTATTAAAGGAAGGCAGAGTGATAAAAAGAGTCTCCAGTCACATAGCCTGGCTGACCATGAGCTCAGACTTCGGGCTCAGAGGAGTTCTGGAGAAGTTATTATTTTATTACTGGAGCAGCACAGGGACAAGGTGGTCTCCTGAGTTTTTGGCTATTTGCTTTAAGATAAGAAGACACTGCTTGTGTGAGAGAGGCAGTTTGCCCTCCATACAAGATGGCTGTCACTGAATCTTCTCTTTCCTCCTGGAAACCAGGTGACTGCAAAAGGCATTGCAGCAGAGAACAGCTGGGATCAAAGGGCATAGATACAAAGTTGGGGGGCTTTTAGTTAACTCACATGGCCCAGCAAAAGCAGTTTTTAGGTTGACAACCAGGGCAAAGATCAATAATGTGGCTTCTTAGCTACTCTAGCAGTGGGGAAAAGAGAGGGAGAGTCAGAAGCCCTGTAACATAATCTCCTCAGTATCACCAAGCCAAAGCCTTCTCTTCCCAGTTTCAGTCTTCTGTATCCAACTGAGGCTTAACAATACCCTGGAACAACCTGTCTTCTAAGGCAGTGTATAAGCTGTTTTGAAAATTCAGATGGAAGCTGGTAGATTATGCCTGTTATCCAAGCTACTCTAGAGGCTGGGATGTGGAGGATCACAGTTCTAAGCCAGCCTGGTCAGAAAAGTCTGAAAGATTACATTTCCAAAGTAACCAAGAAAACCCAGGCTGGGAGTATGACTCAAGTGATAACGCATCAGCCCTGAGCAAGCAAGCCAAATGAGTGTTATACCCATGAAAGCAAGCCTGGGTACCAAAAGAGAGAAAGGAGAGAGAGAGAAGAGAGCGAGGGGGAAGACAAGAGAAAGGAAGAAGTGGAGAGGGGGGAGAGGAGAGAAGAGAGAGTAGCGAGAGGGAAGAGAGAAGAGGAGAGAGAGGAGAGAGGGGAGAGAGAGTCAGACAGACAGAAGGAGATGTCTGGGCCCATGTTTTGTTATCAGGAGTCTAGAAGGAAAGAAAAGCAAAATATCTCTTGGATCACTGAGTTCACCAATTATGACTGAAAACAGGGGCTCCCATGTGTCTGCTGCTCTGGTGGTATTAGCTTAGGATGCTGACAATCATATCTGTGGAACTCCTCTCTGTCTCTAAACTTCAGAGGGCAAATGGCCTCCTGGTAGGGATGGGCCTGTGTGAGAAAGAAGGATCAGCTTGGCAAAGGTGCAGCTGCAGTGGCTCTGTATCTATTTCTGACTCCTTCCACTCATGCTGCCGCTGCCAGCAGAGCTCAGACCTAATTCCTGAAGCCTCCCCGTTGTCCCCTGAGTTCTAACAGTAAATGCCAGCTGTTGACTCTTTAGCTCTATGGCAGATACTGCTAAGCCCGTAATCATACCTCACTGAATTCTCATAACAACCAACACTATAGCTACCATCTAAATCATCTATAAATAGTTATGTGTATATAAATATATGAATATCATCTATAGATGATAATGTATATCCACTGATAGATGAAAAAACTCGAAGAATTTAGCTAGGCGTTGGTGGCTCAAACCTGTAATTCTTGCTTACACAAGGGGTTGAGGTGTGTGTGTGTGTGTGTGTGTGTGTGTGTGTGTGTGTGTGTGTTCCCATCCTGGGGCTTGAACTCAGACCCTGGGCTTTTGTACTCAAGGCTAATGCTTTACCATTTGAACCACAGCTCCACTATTGACTTTTTTCACTATTGCTGGTTATTTGGAGATAAGAGACTCAAGGACTTTTCTGCCCGGATTCAGACCTTAATCCTCAGATCTCAGCCTCCTGAGTAGCTAGGATTACAAGCTTGAGCCACTAGCATGCTGTGCTAGACTCTGGGTTGGTTGGTTTGCAGGACAGTCTGCCTGCAAAACCAAGATCTTTTTCTCTAATGAATGAGAATCCAGACCAGGATTTATAGCTTGACTTGAACTCAAAGGAAGTTCCTGAATAGTTCTAATGGCCATTATCAACAAAACCAGCTTTTGTCCAGAGGGACCAGGAAATGAAGTTGCAGGCCACTCTTCCTGAAAGAGACTTGGTCAGGCCGTTCAATTGTCTTGCAAGTCCATTTGTTGGAAAAACTGTGTCTAACATAATGAGTAACTTCAGGCCTTCCTGCTAGACTGTTACAACACTACAGTTTTTGTGTAGCATTTACAGTCAGAGTTTCCAGTCACCAGACTTAAGTGTGGCTCAATGTTACAACAGAACTGACATCCCATTCATGGATAAGTGTATCAAAGTGGCTGGGCCCAGAATGCTGGAAAGCATGGGCTGGAACTACCGTCTTAAAAAGTCTTGAAGAGGGGATACAAATCTGAGCCAGCTTCCTGCTGCCTGCTGTCACACTCCTGGATCTAGTGGCTCATACCTGTAATCCTAGCTACTCAGGAGGCTGAGATCTAAGGATCATGGTTCAAAGCCAGCCCAGGCAGGAAAGTCAGTGAGACTCATCTCCAAATATCCAGCAAAATGCCAGAAGTGGAGCTTTGGTTCACGTGGTAAAGTGCTATAATTGAGAGAAAGCTAAGGGATAGCACTTAGGCCCTAAGTTCAAACCCTAGGACACACACACACACACACACACACACACACACACACACACACCTTTTTTAAAAGAAAGGTCTATGCTCTGTATTCTTTACCTCATATGTGGTGTATACACATAACACAAAAATAGTGGAAAATGGGTGAAAAAGTGCAGCAGCAGAGCCCACTGGCTGCACTGGACATTGATGAAAGGTAACTGCAACTTGTGGGTAGAGATGGGAGAGAGTGAGGGAACTGATGATACTATGCAAAAGGAAGAAAATGTGCTTATTATCTGATGTGTGTAAAGGTAACCTCGCTGTATATCACCTCTAAAACAACAATAAAGTAATTTAAAATTTAAAAAATGGAATTACAAAATAAAAGGTAATGAGAAAAGGAAAAGAAAAGATAGAAAGAAAGAAAGAAAGAGCAAGCAAGCAAGAAAGAAAGTAGGGAAGGTAGGTATAGGAAGTGGAGCGGTGGCTCAGTGGTAGAGCACCAAACTTGAACTAAAAGAAACTCAGGACAGAACCCAAGCCCTGACTTCAAGCCCCAGGACCGGCACAAAGAGAGAGAGAGAGAGAGAGAGAGAGAGAAGAGGAGAGGAGAAAGGGGAGAGGAGAGAGGAGAAGAGAGAGGGAGAGGGATAGAGAGAGAGGGAGGGAGAGGGAGAGGAAAAGAGAGGGAGGGAGAACTGGAGGTCGAGGCCCCGGGCCCCAGGTCTGGAGGGCAGGGGTGGGGCCCAGGGCGGCCTGCCCCGCCCCGGCCCCGCCCTCCA